TATTCTCTATACATTCATGAAACCAGGAGGTGTTCATGGCTGAAACGAACACAACCGTAAGAACCATAAACAGTAAAGGGTTAATGGTGTGACATATGGTCGTCTAGGTATACACCACAACTCGACGGTTCAAAGATATCATATCTATCGATTGACCGAGTATATCTGACAAATGCTTACTACGGAAAGTCCAAGGGAAAACCTACTTATCCAGATACAATTAATCCTTGCCTGTAAAGTACACAATTGTCAGTGCATTCCTATGTTATAACCATTCTCCATCAATGTGGGGGATTGTTGGGTATGTAGCAAGAATTGATGGGAAATAGAGGAAAAGAGAGGAATTTGAAAAGTTGAGAACTTGAAAAGTCCTCTTATGCTTTAATGAAAAGGCATTTATCCCTCATCGGTGATGGAAAGAAAAATAGGAGAGTTTAAATACAGAAACACTCTTATTAATAATTAAAAAGGGTTGGAAAGAGGGACCCCCCTCGCGCCGTCTTCGTCGTCGCTCGTCTCGGCTTCGACTTTGGCTTTGGCTTTGACTTTGAAAAATGATCGAGAGATAAATTTTTGGACAAAATTTATTTTAAGTATTTATTTTATTAATTAAAATGGCCAAAAAATATTTTTAATTAATTAGTTGATAATAGAAGTTTAAAATTAACCGAAATGTTTTAACTTTTTAGTTGACTAACCCGACCCGACTCGAATCCGCGCGCGACCCGTTTTATTTGAACTTTCCCATTTTATTTAAATTTCCCGTCATGACTGTTTCTGAAAGGTTGCAACTTTCAGGAACAGTCAATACCATTTGAAAGGTTGCAAACTTTCATTAATGGTCGTGTGAATTCTGAAAGGGCTGCAACCTTTCAGAACATATTCTTCTTGCCTATAAATACCACTCCTTATTTAGATATTTTCTAACGAACTTTTCTGATCTTCTTCTTCTTCTGCACACATTTTTCTTCGTGTACTTTCCTGGTGTGGATTGATTCGTTGACAGTAGAGTTTTTGGTATCTACACCCTGCTGATTAAAATCATTTTACACTGGGAGGTTATATTCCAAAAATCAAACCTCGGATACTAGAGGGGAATAATTTCCTTAAGGGGACACTGTAAGTTCAGTGGACTTGATCTTTAAAAGATCTTTTCAAATTCTGGTATGTTCTTACAAATTTTAGTTAAATTTTTGTTCATCTCTCTTACTGATTTTATAAATTTCAGTTACTTCGTGTTTCTGAACAATTTATTAGAACTAGTAATTTCTGATTTTGATAACACAGATTCGCTACAATAGTTTTGTTAAAGAATAACAAAAGTCTCACGTTGGAGGTTAATGAGATGAGTAGACTCGTTATAAGACTTGTACGATCTTTTTTTCTTTAAGCTAACCTTTGGGGTATGAGTTAGGTCAGACCTAATTTAACATGCTACTTTTGAGGTGTGTGTTAGATGCTAAGCATTGGTTGTGAGCTGGGTGTTAAAGAATGACAAAAGTCTTTTATTAGTGGTTAATGAGATGAGTGATTCCTTTTAAGGTTTGAACAATTCTCTCCCCTTTGGCCTAACTTTTGGGGTATGAGATAGGCCTAATACCTAATTTTTTGGGGTGTGAGTTAGGCATAAAACCTAATTTAATATGTTATGAGAGCATCCTCTATCTCACTCAACGTTGGGCCCCCCAAAAAATAAAAAATGCTCACGCACTAGATATTAAGTGCTGAACGTGAGGTGTGTGTCAAAGAATGACAAAAGTTTCATATTGGTGGTTAATGAGACGGGTGAATTCCTTATAGGCATTGGACAATAGAAATATTTGTTATGGGTGATTGAGATAGTATTTGTAACAAACTTTAAATATGTGGAAAATAAATAAATCATATAAATAAAATATGAAGAGACATGGTTTTATTCATCAATATTGTAAGTATAAATCTGTTCCTCCATTGATTCTACTCTCCTAAAATTTATTCATGATTCGATGGCGGTTATTACGTATTTCTCAAACTAGGATGATCTAAATTTGACCTCTCTATATGAATAATCCATCAATTTGCAGATTATTTCAGATCTTGATCTCTTTATGAAATTTCCGAGATGCCTTTTAAGAGAACTTAGTATCCTTTATATATACATAAAGGAGGGTTTAGGGTTGAGCAACCTTCAAGAATCCTAATTTGAGGTGAACAAGATTTATAAAGTGCCAACTCGAATTCAATGCATCTTGTAGAGTCCCAAAAAATTTCAATGTCTACAAATGCCCCCTGGTTCAAGGTTTGTCGAGTGTAGACTTGATGAAACTCAAAGACGAGGCTTGAAATACTCATTCTTCCACCTTTGCAGCTTCAAATTTTCAGATTTGATGTAAGAGAGAAGAGATGAAGGACAAATTTGGTTCCACTGGGCGTGCCAATTTGTTTGCAACAAATTTTAAACATGAAAAATAAACAAACCATACAAATAAAATATGAAGAAACATAATTTTATTCATCAAGATTGTGAGTATAAATCTGTTCCTCCCTTTATTCTACTCTCCTAAGATTTATCCATGATTCGAGGGCCGTTAGTGGTGTATATCTCGAACTAGGATGATTTAGATTTGACCTCTCTATATGAATAAATCCATCAGTTTGCAGATTATTTGAAATCTTGATCTCTTTATGAATTTTTCGAGATGCCTTTTAGGAGAACTTAGTATCCTTTATATAGACATAAAGAAGGGTTTAGGGTTGAGTAGCCTCCAAAAATCATAATTTGTGTTGAACACAATTTGTAGTGTCCCAACTCGAATTAAATGCATCTTGTAGAGTCCCACAAAATTCCAATGTCTATATACAGATAGGAGTCTTTATTCGGATTTACCCTTGCACGCCCCATTGTTATTAGTGTTATTTGCTACCAAACCTTTTAAGTCAATTATTATGATTACATTCAATGTTACCATCATTGTCACCTTAGTCGTTACTATTAGTCATTATCACCACTACGTTCAATCACTACTAGCAATAACCTCTACCGTTACAACTAGCATCGTCATTATTAACTCCAACACCATCAGTCACTGCCATCTATTACTAATATCAACTATCTTCACCATCACAGTCACAAATGCCACTACCAGCTATAATCGTTATCGCGACAATCAAGACAATACCAATCATCTTCACTTTCACAACTATCACCATTTCTAATCACTAACACCAACCATCATCCTCACCACTAGGGGTGTTCGTGGTTTGATTTGGATCAATTATAGTAAAAATCAAAATCAAATCAATCTACTTGGTTTTTTAAATTTTTAAAACCAAACAAAAAAATAACCGTCGGTTTGGTTATTGAAGATTTGGTTCAGTTTGGTTTAACTTTCTCATTTTTTCAGTTCGAAAGTAATAATTTTTTACTACATACATATCTTGATAGATGCAAACATTTAGTACATGAACAATTAACTGAAAAATATTGTTGGTTCATTTAAGAGATTAAACAATACTAAAGTTATTATTACACGATCAAAATGGTTAACTAAGAGAAGGTATAACTATCTTATTAAATGTATGGTAAGTAAAGACTAAAATAATGAATTTTGATGGATTTTGGACTTAATATTGTAATAGATGGGCTAAATTACGTGTTGGGTTTGAGAAAATTATAAAATTCAAAGGGAAATATTACACGGTTAAACAAACTTATACTACTTAATTACTCATCATAGCTATAGTTTGCTATAATTACCACTCGCGACTAATAATACACATTAAATATGTGGGCTGATTTCAAATTTGTATAATTATTAGCCACATTTGTATATGTATAATTCGCCAGAAGCTACATACATACATACATACATATATATATATATATATATATATATATATATATATATAATATACAATTATCTAATCGGTATACATATACAATTCACCTCTCTCCCATTCTCTGCCCTCTCTCCACCCTCTCCCAATCTCGCTTGCCATATATACAAATGCATAATATAATATACAATTATATAACCGATATACATATAGAATTCAACTCTCTCCCACTCTCTATCTCGCTCACCTCTCTCTCCTTCTCCTAACATCGCTCATCTCTCTCCTCCCTCTCCCAATCTCGCTTGCCATATATACAAATACATATGTATAATATACAATTATATAACTGATATACATATGAATTCACCTCTCTCCCACTCTTTGCCCTCTCTCTTGCCTCTCTCCTCTATTCCACTCTCTTCCCTCTCTTCCCTCTCTCCTCTCTCCCAGTCTCGCTTGCCTCTCTCCTCCCTATAACATATAACTAAGAATGATAATTATCAAACTATATATATGGAGAGTAATTAGGCTATTTTTGATTGGCTATATGTGAAAGTTCCTTTATTAAAAGACTTAAATTACTTAAAATTTAACAAAATATTTATCTTTTATTTATGAATAATGTACAAATAATTATAAAATTTATAGATTTCATTTATTAGGCCAGTTTAATTATTTTTGCAGTTACTTTTAGTAAAATCAAAATCAAACCAAATACTATCGATTATTTTCAAAATGTAAAATCAAACCTAATCAAATTAAACCAAATATCAATTTTTTAATCGGCTTAGTTCATATTGCTGTTCGATTTGATTTTTTAATCATAACCATAAACAATACTACTCACCACTATCACTGCATATACTTCTGCTTAAAAAATAGGCTCAAAGAGGGCGCTTGATTACCCAGTTTCCAAAACAAACAGAGAACCCTCAAAATCACCAACCTCTTATTTAAAGGCCAATCTAGAATTTGAAAGTCGTGAGTATCACAACAATCAAATAAGATAGATAGATCGATACCATTTCAGGTTATAATTTAAATTATTTATCTTTTTTCAATTTTTATAAATAAATAAATTAAATAATATATATTATTTTAATATTTTCTTTTAAATATTATGAAGTTATTCTCTATAACTTTGTAAAAACAAAAAAAGCGACTTTCCCATTAAAATTTTTGAACTTCTATGAACCATATAATAATAGTGTTAAACTTAATATATTCATATTTTGTTGTCTCACCTTAGAAAAAAGTATCTGAAAATCGGAGAATATTCATCATTTTTACCGGGAAGAGAGATGGCTATGGAGGTTGCACCATCTTTTCCGACTTGGGAAGAAATTGAGCTTGCAGAAAAGTATTCTTTTTTTCTTTTTTTGGGGCAAAGAATTGTCTTTTTTGGGTTTACTTGATTCACTAAACAACAATTTGGTTAAATTTGTTTCTCAATTTTCATGTTCAATGTTGCAGTTATATGGTGTGTTGTATGTACCAAGAAGCAGCAGCTTTGTCTTCCTCAATTATTGAGCAATTAGTTGACAAAAATGTTAAAACGAATGAACCCAATTGCGAATTCGGTGATATGTTGGAATCAGCTGCAATGATTTTGATGCAGTCATGCAAAGCATCGGAGAGGTACTTGTTTATGCCACTTCCATTCATTTCATGTATTACCTGCATTTTCTTATTCTATTACAAAGAATATTGTTGGCCTTAGTTTTAGGGTTAAATGACTATCTTACTTGAACATTGAGAGTTGAGAGTTGATTCATTATTAGCTATTACAAACTGTAATGATAGAGGAATTGGTTGGTCTTCAACTGGGTTGAATTGATAGTCTCGGTGTGCGTTTGGTAGGAAGGAAAATGCTTTTCAGGAAAATAAGTGTTTCTTTTTACTTATTTTCGTGTGTTCGGTACTTAAGCAAGAAATATTATACCAAAAGAATTTGTATATTACACTATCACTATGGGAGGTGGGGTGGGGGTGTAATGAACCCATATTGTATTGAAATGGATAATAGGGATTACACGAACAAATATAAAGAGTTGATCGTTATAATTACTCCAAACTAGTAACAAATCTTCCAAGAGGAAGAAGAAGAAATAAAAAGGAAGAAAGGAGGGAGGTTCCAGAATTAATCTAAGAAACTAAGAAATAAAAGATAACTTCATAACATAAACCCTAATTGAGTATTTCCCTTTTCTATATAGGAATCTTCCCGGGGTCCCGAATGTAATTTTGACATCTTTTCACATGGGTCCTCCATCTTAGTTATATTCATAACAATTCTTCCCTCCTTTATAAGAACCTACTCCTCAAGGTTCGAGTATAGTCGTAATGAGACCACATTGTTGTCATGTTCCTCTTTATAAGTGTTAGCAACCCAAAGGAATTCTTTAAACACTTCATTATCCAAAGCAACTTTCAACAACAATCCATCATTTTGCTTTTAAAACCAGAGGATGCATCCATGTATAATAAGATTAACATCAAGGAGTTGCTTGGGAGATGAAGACGGCAGAACGAAAGGATTGATATTGAACATCTTATGGAGCTTTGATATGAGAGCATTGAGAATTACTGGATCCAACATTATGAATTTATGGCATTGGCACCTATAAGATCTCTGTAGTCCAAAAAGCACTCCAAGGGACAACCACTTTCTCAACCGACTTGAACCAAATCCTTCCAGCACCCAACCCAACTTCCAGTAGCTTGCATTCATTAGACGATACCTCTTCTAAAGATGTAACCAACACTACATCTCTTCCCAATTTCAGAAACATCCAACAAACACTTGATCATGTGTTGAGACCAAGACCATATCTTTAGTGCATTGGGAGCCCCACCAGCTAGCAACAGATCCAACATTGCAGAACAATATGTCAGTAAATTTTCTAAAGTAAACTCTTGAACAAGAGCATTGACAGACTGTGGCGGTGTAAGTGCATGACAATGGGAAGTGAACTAGCAGAGTCTACCTCATTGACTACACATTTTGCTTGTACCACTTGAGCAGAAGTGAATGCAGAAGGAGAATTACCTTTCCCTAGCATTTCTTAAAACACATATGCAGCAATTTTTGGACAATATGTAGCCACCATAATTTTCAACGTGTTAAGTGTCCTTTCCTTTTTGTTATTTTCTGCCTGCAAATCTTTTTCGACCAAATCAGCAGATGCTCAAATTTGTGAAAAGATTTCTTCTTGTAGTGTTTTCATAATTTCCATCAGCTCACTGATTGCAACAATTATTTTGTCAATATCATCAATACTTGGTGCCTTCTGTGTGACTTCCCGTGCAGCTGCTGTAGTTCACAAATCATCAATAATCGTGTTTGATATGGTGTTTGCACCCTCTAACTGTAACATTGGATCACGAATAGGGAAATGGAAATTTTAAGCTGGTGGACTTGCTGTTCATAGAACATTTGGTCTCGTAAATATGGTATTGTAGCTCTTATGTTTTGTTCACCAAGAAAATCTTTCGCTCTTTCAACCTCATGAGCAATATTTGTAAATAAAACTGCCTTTTTTACTAGCATCACTTCATCTTGGATCCAGCAGTGATCAAACTTGCAAATTTGAAATTTGAGATTGAATTGCTCGAACCAACCTGGTGTCTAGCTTAACTGTGATAAAAAAAGATGTGGCTGCTCCATTTTAAAATGGTTGTAACGTGATATCCTAATATCATTAACCCATAAAAGAGTTGAAGACAACTCGCAAAGATGATCTGTAAGACTACAACTGAGCAGTCATCAGCCCATTCAACAAATGAGTGACCATTAGACAACTGAAGGTGTTTAAAACCGTTAGACAGACCTGGTCCAAATACACTACTCTACCATTTCTCAGAATGAGGTCATCATTCAGAACATCACAGACGAAGCTTACACCAAAATTCATGTTTACACCAGCTCTTTGATTTATATTGTTGCTGCAAGGCCATTTAGGGTTCCCCAGTCCGAATACTGTTCTTGCACATTGTTTTGTCACAAAAATATGCAACATTGGTCAGCAGAGAAGACAATAAGCCCATGCCAGTTGCACTTCGGAAAACACCTGTTGTTAGATTGATTTCGACATCAGATTTATACCACAAATAAAAAAGGCACCTATTCTATGGTATTTGGCTTCTCCAACAACCCAAGCACAATAAAAATATTGTCTCCGTGGGAGGAAGCAACCGTAGTGTATGACTGCCAGGACAAGTTGAAGTTGCAAAAATAGAAGTACTGGATGAAGTCGTATGCATCAATATACTTCTCTAATGCACTGGAAGAAACAGCCCCGACAGCATGGCTAGCAGATATGCGAACATATAACGCTTCTAATATCTTTCACATGTCACAGAGGAAAATGACATCACGAGTGACATATACACCGAGATTAAATGGAAGCTGTACGCATTTAATCTTATGGCCAATGTGATTCTATCCATAGTAAGAATGACACTCTTAGATTCAGTGTACGGTCTAGTTGAGTCAACATTAAAAGAGTATGCATAGTTGTACCTGTCCGAACTATCAACAAACACCTTGTGTGCAGTGGTCAGTGAGGATACTTCACATACATCTGAAGCATCGTTAACACTCAGAAGTGGAAAGCCATTCGAACAACCAAAAAGAAGAACTCAGTTGACTGAATACACACTCGAGTTTACTTTATCAAAGAAAGCCCCAAAAACCTGCCCAGTATCAAACCAATTGCAAATGTGTAAACCCAAAGCATGTGGAAGCGAACCAATAGTTGTATGAGGGCCAAGAAAATCTGCAAAAATATCCCTCTTCGGCACTATATCCAACACCTTGCAGTCAAACTCCATATCAAGCTTATGTCGTAGCCTTTAACTGGAAGAGTCGGTTCCTTAACTGAGAAGGACAAAGGAGAAAATTTAAGCTCAGTAGTGTCAATAGAAGCACTGAACAGAACAGAGGGAGAGATGTTCTTTTGTGTTGTATATCCAACATCAAGAATAGGAAGTTCAGAATCCAAATGTGATTTTATGATGTCAGCAATCTCAGTGTCATTATCATCGGAAGCTAACTCTAGCACAGAGGTGATAGTTGTAGAATCTGAAATCTCTGGAATATCAGTGGAAGTGGAGTCCTATTGCATCTCCTCCTGCGGTAGTGACCGCACATGGGTTGTTGTTCGCTTGTAGTACCTTCATCGATTCTTGCAGCACCTTCATTGATTCAAAGAGGGTGTTGAATTGAGCATCAAGCATGGCAGAAGGGTAAAGAGGCATGGAGTATGAACAATGAAATTACCAATATAATGAACCCATATAGTATTAAAATGGATAATTGGGATTAGACATACAAATGTAAGAGTTCATGGTTATAATTACTCCAAACTAGTAACAAATCTTCCAAGGGAAGAAGAAGAAATAAAAAGGAAGAAGGGAGGGAAGTTCCAGAATTAATCTAAGCAACTAAGAAATAAAAGACAACTTCATAACATAAACCCTAAATGAGTCTTTCCCTCTTTATATAAAGGAATCTTCCTGGGTCCCAAATGTAATTTGACATCTTCTCACATGGGTACTCCATCTTATTCATAACATAGTGGGGTGGGGGTGAAGATGAGGTGTGTTGGGGGTGGGAGGACACAACTAATGTGGAACACCATTCTTCCTCATTTTCAAGGAACTTGTTTTCCTCTAGAAAATGCTTTCCAAAAGCTTTGACCAACCAAACATGGGAAAAATGGAAAAAATGTTTTCCTTCTTACTAAACACACTTATTGAACATTGTTAGTAGATGGATATTGATTTTCTGTATTCTGATATTGCTTGGATGAATGGTTACCTCTGAAATGCCATATATAGAGTGGCTCTGATTTATGTGTGTTATTGGTCAGACTCGTGAACTGCTTTCTCACCTTTTACTGTTTCTCGGTGTGGTAATCTTGCTGCCTTCTTTCGTAGTAAAATGCTTCGAGTTTCCTTTAATTCTGACACTAATATGGTTTGTATGTTTGACAGGACATCAGAAATATTGAAACAGCTGAAAGTGCTATTTGGTTCAGTCACTGCTATTCCTGCCCAAGTTTTCCTTACTGGGTACCTTATTTCTTGAACATGCTATTTCCATAATAATTGCTCATCTTCATTTAGCACACATAATAATCCACATGACTTTGATATTTCTCACCTTTGTGGTCTAGTGAGATGATTTCTTATCCTCTTTATAAGGTTGATGTCTGGTGTTAAAATTCATCTTTAATTACCATCCTCAATTTTATGCTGCAATTCCTTTATCATTCACTTTTTTGTACTGGTTTGTATAACTTGAATTGTTTGAATGGTATAAAATGTACGAATGCCTTTAAAAATTGAGAGACACTCTTTGCTTTGACATGTTTCTTTTGGTTTTGAGATCCTGATCACGTACTCCCTATTATCTCATGTATCCGAAGTAAACGGAAAAAAGTTCATGATCCCTCTCCCAAGCTTGAAATGTTCTTATCATTACAATGTTGCTCCTCATAACTTCCTTTTCCTTCAACATTTTTTGAAAGCTCCCTTCTTTGTGATGGAAATGACTCTAAACTTCTTCTCCAGGGTGTGTCTCCAGATACCAGATGGCCCTTCTGCTGAAGTTCAAGAAATTCTAGAGGAGTTCCTTATGAAGTGGAGATATGTTGATGGAAAGTATTATACTGTTGCAAGCATGGAAGCTGATGTACCTTACGTGGAAGAATTTAGCAATCAGATTTCCCTTGGAGTGGATAAGTACCTGGAAATCATTGAGCTCTATGTGATAACCTTTTTGGGGAGGATTCTAGGAAATTTTGATCTTGCTATCTCTTGGGTTGAGAAATCCCCTCTACCTGAGGAGAAGAGGCAGGTAGTCAATAATGTTTCTTGCATCATTTAATTAAATGATGGTCTCATGTGATTTTTTTTCCTTTTGTGCCCTCCACTCCAGTTTTTCCTTGTACAGGTCTTCAATTGGAATATCTGTGTTGTTTTCCTTGTGAAAGAATGTTGTTGTAATCTATATTCTTGAGGTTCTTAGGCCTTAGCACTATGAGTTGAAGTTCCTTGGTGATTTATGGTTGAATATATAGTCTAATAAGAACTGATATTGTGAGATTAAACTTTGTCGAAAGAGAAATATGCTTATAGAAATTGTGCAATGCAATCCTACTGAGACTTATTTGATGTGTGTTTGCTATGCGGTTGATGTTTTAGCTGTTTTGTGACCAAGTAACTTATAACTTGGGATTTTAAAAATTATTTCTCTATATTCCAGGATCTTTTGAGGCGGTTGCACTCCATGAATACTTTAAAGCTTGGCAGCTCTTTGCAATCCTCGGCATTACCTCTCCAAATAGATGAATGTACAACTGATTCCTCTTCCCTAGTTGAAGAAAAGTCATGCAATGGAACAACAAATATTTTGGAACACAGAGACCAGTCTAAGGGAGAGAACACCACGAAACAATCAATTCTGGATTTTTCTAGACGGAGAACTCCATTTTGGTGGTTTCGTACAGTAACTTTGAAGTTTGGAAGCAGTCGCTTGGTTTTATCAAATGGAAGCATCTTTCTTGGTTTTTTGGTGGCACTTGTTTACTATATTGCGAGGAGAAAACAAGCCTCTTTATGGAGGTAATGTAGTCTTTCTGCCTTGATAAAGAAGAATTTACTCTTATTATGATTTTCTTCATCTTAAAGCTGTGGGAGACACATATTATTATGTAAAGTCAAGTAAACAATGCTCAAGTGAGTTACTAGATAGTAATACATTTTTTTTGACGACAAGGGAAACCCGCAGCCGCTCCCCTTTTGGGTTTGCATAGGGTAAAACCCCGCTCCTATGCAATAGCTCATAAGCCACATAGGAGAGGTTATAGCACATTGATTAGCATGTGAGATATGTCTATTAATCCATTGGGTTGGCTCTGTAATTATAGCCTTTTGTATCGCACGTAGTCTTGAGAAACCTTTGCTGTTTAGGGCTTAAACTCTTGTACTAGTTACATCAGTTCTTTCTGCCATCTTTTCTGGCATATTTAAGTTTGCAAATGCTAGGCTATTACGTACTTGGACCTGGCTTATATTAGACATGAATTGTTTGTCAATTACATGATAACTGGGACTATTGTCTCACTGACATTTTCCCCATCTTTTATTACAGTATTGTTAAGAGACAAGCTTCGTCTACGAAGAAGGCTTTGGTTGATTTCTGGCAACTTGCATTCTCATATCAAGTGAACCCTCTTGCTGCTGTTCAACCGCTCCCGCCTGCAACACGTGGAAGCCGGTGATGCACAATTTTGTTCCTCATACCAGAGGTGTTACTTGTAGATAAATAAAAGATATTGCTACTATCATCTTAAGTTGGAGAGGAAATTGATTTTGATAATTGAAAAAGATTGTTGGAAGAAGCAGGTTCCTTGACACATCGTTCGTGATATCACACGGCAAACAAATACTTAAGAACCAAGTCCCTAATAATACTGTTGATTAGAGGCAGCAGGCATTGTTTGTATGTATGTAGAGGTTCCTTTACAGTAAGGTCTCAATTTTTGAAAAAAATCATGCAACTCCAACTTCACTTTTATTAACTCATGGTGTGTGAACAAAACGATGGAGAAATTTTACTTAACTCTGTGAATCGCATAACCAACAGTACTTATGTGAGGTGGTTTAAAACTCAATATTTTGTCAATTACCTTTGAATCTTTGTCAATAGTTACAAAATCTGTGGATTGAGACAACCTCTCCTTTGATTTTTTTCTTCACTGCAAGCAGTATTCACATAATCTGTTTGTTTCTGTATGTATACCAAGATATCAATGATGATTCCCATTTCGGAGAACCCTACTTCCTTGCCCAAAAAAAAGGTATGCTCAATTTTCCCCTTTCGATTAACTCGTCTTTCTTTTTCTTGACATTGATTGTTCTACTTATATATGTTTGAGAAATTGAATGAAATGCTTTTGAGGAATTTGCATTGTTATGGGTTTAGGTTCTTTTCTTTTTATCATGGATTCTTCTGCTTTTTTTTTTAAATCTCTCAAGATTTTTGTGAGTGTTATCTGTTTGGTTGAATGGGGGAATTCTGATGTTATTGAATTTTTTAAAGCATTTACTGGTGTTTGAGAAATTTCATTCAAAGAAATTGAATGAAACTGATTTTTGAGAACTTCTCTTTGTTTTGCATTGATATTTTTTAAAGATTCTTATGCGTTTCGGTTCTTTTTTATTTATTTTTTGTCAAGGAGTGATTCTAATTTTAGCTAAAATATTAATATTTAGAAGCGTTAAGTAATTCTGTTTTGGAGAGATTTGACCTTGAATTTCTTTTTTCAAGCTCTTTTGTGGGTGCATATTCTTGGTAGAAACGAATGCAGGCTTTTCTAATTTTTGTTTATGGGAAAATACCCAAGTACCCCCTCAACCTATGCCCGAAATCCCAGAGACACACTTATACTATACTAAGGTCCTATTACCCCCTGGACTTATTTTATATGTAATTTTCTACCCCTTTTTAGCCTACGTGGCACTAGTTCGAAAAAAAGTCAACCATCGTTGGGCCCACAAGATAGTGCCACGTAAGCTAATAAGGGGTAAAAAATTATTAATAAAATAAGTTCAGGGGGTAATAGGACCTTAAAATAGTATAAGTGTGTCTCTGAGATTTTGGGCATAGATTGAGGGGGTACTTAGGCATTATCCCTTTGTTTATTAACAAGAAAATGAACGTTTTCTTCTCGGAGGTCACATTTAATTTGCATGATCGCTTCTACTAGTTGATAAGCACGCCCATTAATGGCTACTTTTGCGTTGTGTGTGATCTTGTGCTTGGATATGAAATTGATGAAAACTTTTTACTTTGTTGAGTTTTTGGAGTTTTCAGATTTCCAACAGAGGTTGCATAGATGGAGCATTCAGGCAAAGACAAAAGCAATATGGTACGCATAAGTTCATGTTATCTTTACTATTTCTCAAGACTAGTAAAATTTGAAAGTGTGATTTTACAGCCTGTTCTTGAGGAACTATTGTATTTCTAAGCTACCTGCTTCAAGCAGCGATAAGACTACTAGGGTAAGAGTGAAGTAAAGGGAGATCCATTTAAGGAGATTTTAGAGTTAGAAAAGAAAGATGCAAAGGTCGTAGTTACTTTCTTTACATCATGTGAAGCCTAGAAGGATATGAAATATATTAACTCAAGACAATAGATTCACTTTGGTACTTGATGTCTCAAACCAAAGACATCGTTGTTATCCCTTTCTTTCCTCATTTCTCTCATCTTCTTTTTAGAGGACGATGTAAAGTTAGAAAGATGGAAGAACCTACTATAACTTTACGCTTGTGCACGTTAGGAAATGACTAAAAAGCCATCTTAACTTTGTCTTCTTCTTTGAAACAAGAATTTGCCTTAGATCACTCCCCGATGATCTTGAGAATCTGATCAACCTTGAAATTTTGAACGTTAGCAGAAAACTGTAGTACCTGTCAAAGTTGTCCTGTTCAGTAGGATTTTTCATTGCTCTCCATGAACTAGAAGTTAGTTACAACAAGGTTACCGAATTACCAGATTCCATCGAATACTTGAAGAAGCTCCTGAAGCTGAGGGTGGAAGTCAACCGCCTTGTTTCTCCTCCACCGGAGGTAGTGGAGCAAGGGATACATGCAGTTAAGCAATACTTGTGTGAAAAGATAAATGGAATGCATGACAAGTCCCCTAAGATACCCTTCGACCTTTTTTTGTTTCTTGAAGTTTCGGTTGGTATTGTTACTTTAGCATGTTGCTATTAGCCATGAGTGATTCGGTAATGCAATGCATATCTAGGAAAGCGGATAGAATCGAGTAGAAAGCGAAGATGATTAAAATGAATAAATTAACTTTTATACACAAGTCGGCTATTACACTCGAGAGTAATTGTATATATAAAGTTAAATAAGAACTCCAAGAGGATGAGGGATCGTATCGAAGTACTGAATGAAGTATGGGATATTGTGAGTGATAGTATTCTCATATAAGTAGTGAATTCTTTCACATGTGAATGTATTTCGATGTGGGACTTGTAAAACCTTACAGGTAAGTTGTTGATGTCGCACGAACTATTTGGTGTTTATGAATTGTGTGTCTAGTTAATGTTGGGTTTGTCCAGCACATGCGAAGTGTGAATGGATAAGTGCTAATTTAAAATAGTGGTGAGAATAGTTGTATAGTAACTGTTCTCCAACGTAAACAGTCCCTTTTTTTAATTAGATGCTTTACACTCTTCAGAAAGAGGAGACGAAAAAAAAAAATTAACAAAAAGAGCGGCATTCAGCAAAAAGACATGATCTTTGTTTCCTAGTGATACAAAGAAGGACAATTATTTAGTTCGTAAATTTCATTCTATTGTAATACATTAATTATTATAAACATAATTTTGATTCCGTATATCGATACATGTATTTGGGGACCAAATCTGACATGAATGATAACTCAAAAAAAGGCAAATATTAAATCCATTTGTGTTGTTTGACCCTTTTGTTATGGCCCAACCAAATATAAATGATCCTAAACACATAATACCGAAAATGCCCTTTATGACCTAAACATTCACGTTAATGATCTTTTGTCTGCTTAGAATCATTCCATCGTATTCAGAAATACACACTCTTTGTTTCACTTATTTTTATTATTTTCTATTATTTTTAAAATTTTCAAAATCTCTTACCTTTTTTAAGGGAAAATTGTATATAATAGCAAACTAATAACTTAAAATAAATGGAGCAGCTATGGTTTGATTTAATTGTGCTACATAGCAAACGTTTGCAAAAAATTGTCAGGCGTCTCTCTTTTAAATATCTCGCTCGCCACTCTCCTCTAATCTCTCGCTCGCTTTCTCACTTTTTATACAAACACAAGTGTATAAAAATTGATTCTAATTGTATAAAGCAGAGAAAATTGTATAAATACATATATTTTTGTATATAATCGTTCTATACACTTATGATAATACAATTTGTTTTTATACAGTTTTCTGCCCAAGTTTCTTTCTCTTTCTTGTTTTATACAATTTGCTTCAACTGTATATGTATAACAAATTATACAGTTTCTATGTTTGTTATGGATCGCAATTATGCAAACTTTGCTATAGCATACAAATATGAATTTTTATTTGCTATATGTGAAAGTTGCCCTTTTTTTAATGTATCTAAGTTACATATTAATGTATACGGGCCAGTATTTAATGTGTATGAGCTATATATAATGTATTAGAGCTAGTTTTTAATGTATATGAGCTACATATTAATGTATTGGAGACGATATTTAATGTATCGAAGACGGTATTAATGTATCTGAGCTTCAATTATTGTATTTTTTTAAAAAAAAAATTAAGAAATTAATGTAAGTAAAAACTTATTAAGGATATATTATAATTTCATATTAAAACTATGAGATTGATGTAATTTATCAAAGTAGAATATATTCCAACAAAGAGCATGTTAATATTTCATTGATAATTTGTTCAGGAGAAGATGTCAATTTTTTAAAATTTGAAACTAATTTAATTTAAACTTCATGTTTACCCTAGTAATAGGTTTTTATTGTCACATAAATATCATGAAATATTCAAAATCCTAAATTTCAATGGGTTTACAATCACAGAAGTTTTATGACATATGATGATTTTTTTAATAAAAAGGATCCTTAAACTTCTACAGCAATGCCCCACAAAGAATGATTCCTTCTGTGTGACAAAAACTCTTAAACATATTTGATGTAATAGAGGTGCTCCATCTCTTAAGCAAGCTTTATTTTGTCTTAAATTTCTAATCCATCATAACTATGACACGTAAATTAAAATAGAAAAATAAAAAATTATTTTCCTTTATATTTATCGTTGGAGGTGTATTCAGGGTTTTGAGATGATGGGCACTATTACGAAAAGGTGAATTTAATCGGTTTGACATTTAGGTTATTATCAATAAAAACATTTAAAAATTAAAAACTATAGGTCCAAAATTGAAATGCTTAATTAAAATACCAAAAGTGCTATCAATAACCACTTAGAGTGGTGTTACCCAATTTTAGAAAGAAAAATAAAACAAGATAGATATAAAATTTAAATTTTTAATCGAGGTGCATTCAATCATCGTCGTATTATATAATACTTCGGGTGATGATTCACACGTCTATAATTTACAAAAAAAATAAAAATATAACACTAATATATATTATATCAAGAGGATAGCATAAATTCAAGTAAACTCAATAACCGCTTCTGCATACGCCTCTATAATTATCGCCATGTAAATATACGAATAAAGTTTAAAACGCTTAATCAATTAAGATACTTAACGATCCACCTTAAAGATTTTTGTTATATTAGTCAAGTATTATTATCCACAATCACAACCTTTTATATTAATTAAAACTGGATAATAATGACATGGTTCTTAAAAGATAAGAATCTACCGTTATCTTTGAAAATAATATCTTAATATATGCACAAAGAAAAGTAAACACACAATTGTGATGTAAAATTATAAAAAGTCAAGAATGAGTAGATAAATAGGACAGGAAAGGACAGTACGGATAAATACGTACATTAAAAGAAAAAAAAATGATATGGATATGATGTATAATTTTAAAAATATATATAAATATATAATTTAAGATATTATAATTTTAAAATTCTGTATCATTAAAATAATTATGAAAATCTCCTCCCAAATACATCTTTATCCTCTTTAGAATACATCTCTCCCATTAAATAATGTGTTTTTATAAAAATATCAAAAAATGTATGCGAGTGCAATGAAAACATTCACAATTTTTTTAATTGAAAAAACTTTTGAGATAGTATAAGTTTCCTAATTTATCATCTCTGTTTTTATTTAAATTTCTTAGTTTTACTAAACATAAAATTATGAAAAATATTTTTTTATTAATATGTATTGTCATAAAAATAAAAAAGAACTCATCAAATATTTTTTTTAAAAAAAATACGATACACTTTACAAAACAAAAATCAACACATTAAAAGTACAACAAAAAAGGACGCCGTATTTGACATTAACTAACTCTTTTAAAGTCAAACATCTTTTTTTAATAAAAAAAAAATGTGCAAAGCAAATCGTGCCCATGATTATCGGTCAAATATTGTTACTATATTTTAATTTAATTGATAAAAGTAATCAAATCTAGTAGTAGTTGGGGACTTATCAAATGATGGAACTTGTCTCTATTTGATTTTTTTTATTTTTTCAAAAGAAGAGGTAAATAATTATTTCCTTCGTTTTTAATTATTTGTTCATTTTTGAATTAATATACCTATTAATAAATTAATCATTGATAGTAAATAGCCATTTTATCTCTATTAATTATAAAGTAGATGAATTAATTTATGATTTTTAAGAAGATTTTTCTTTTTCAAATTAATTAATTGAGGATATACAATAGGTAAATATATTTTATTTTTTCTTAATTTGTCAAAGTAAAGTAAGTAATTAGAGATAATTAGAAAAAGAAATGGACAACTAATTAGAACAGAGGAAACATTTCCTTCATTTGATTTAATATGTAAAGCTTATTGGACAAAGGACATAATCACATACTTTTAAGACAAAATGATCATTTGTCCCTTATAAGTTTATAATTACAAAAATTCTCAAACTGATACAATAATATAAGTGTTGGTATATTAATCTGATGCGCGAGATACATTAATCGTTAAGTAAGATACATTACATTTTAGACATGATACACTAATCTGATGTGCGAGATACATTAATTTGATGCGCTGATACATTAATCTTATGCGTGAAAAATGAGAAATTTTGAATAATTTATAAAACTAATTGAGAATAATTGTAATAAAAAAAATTAAAGGAGAAATTTCTGTCATTTTTCCAAAATTATTCTTCTAATTAATCATATAAAGTAATGTAGAATAATTATACATGTTGGCCAATTGAATTAAAATATGTTGCTTGCTTCCCTCCCTTTTGGGTTCCTTCCGTATTCTATGAATTTTATGTCTCTCCCATTATATAAAGGGGAAAATATCAATTAAAATATTAATTATTGTTAAAAGTAGAAATTAGAAAAAAAAAAATAGACAGCTATATAGAGAGCAAGAGAGAACTTTTTTTCCAGTATATATAAGTGTGTTTTGTATCACATCTCATGCTTCAAATGATACTATTAAATATTATATAACATTATATAAAAGTAAAGTTATAAAAGAGATGTCTTTTTAAATAAGAAAATACTCGTTTACATCATGGGAAAAGGTAGCGGGTGAGGTTCTGATTATGGACGTTAGTATGTTACGATTTATTATTAACCATGTCTTTTAGTATAGTATTATTTATTCAATAATTGTTTCATTATTTAATCAATTTAATAGAATGCTACATTAAATAGATCATATTCAAATAGATGATTTATTGTATAGAGTTTAGACTTATCCATATTAGATCAAAGAATCGATTCTTAAAAGCTAAAGTTGGGATTTTTCAATTGTAAATTTGGACAGACTATTAGAACTATTTTAACATGAGATTAAAGGTAATTCATATTGATTGCAAGAATTAATGGTATAGTCATATTGAACATAAAAAATAAAATGGATTCAACTAGGAGGCTCAAACTCCGGATTTTTCTTTGTTTAATTTGAAAAATAGAATTATATACCATTAG